CCAGGTCTGTTTCGGTCTCTGCCAAACTGGTTCTATGACGCACGTGCTCCGGAGACAATAAACGTTTCTGTTTTCATGGTTGTTGTTGTTGCTGCTTGGAAGGCGGCGTTCAGACATTCATAAGATACATTTTAACGTCGTATCTTATGTCGCTTTATAGCTCATGCCTTGCTGCACATTTAATCTCGCAGATTCTCTCCACGCCCCCAACTCTCTACTATTTTCAGGTGTTTCTGCATATTTGCGGCTGTGAGATGTCACGTCAAAGGTAATTTTGATTGCCAGTCAGTCAGCATCTTTCCAACAAGTTGCTCAAATCTCCTCCCCGACACTCGTAAAATATCTCAACTTGTCTGGTGTTCTTTGAGCTGCTTGCTGCTTTTTGTTTTTTACACTTTTTTAACTTGCCTCGCAATGCGCTTTGCATAGTAATCAGTTGGGGATCTTTGGAAAAAATGCGATGGCTTTGCCTGATTACTTTGAGGGAAAATTAGAGTGAAGGAGTGTTTATAATAGACAGATGTTGATTAGAAATTTGAATACATTACGAATAATGAAAGGGATTTGTCGATAGAAATTAAAGGCAATCATTTTCAATAGTCTGTAGTGTAATTTGTTAAAATGTAGTAATATATCAGAACTCAATTAATGAATAACATTTTTATTTATTTAGCATTAGACATTTAATGATTTTTTGGAAAATAGTGATATTTCTAAAGGAAAAGTAATAATTAATTATTGTATATCTGTTTGCAGTAAAAGCTAATATTCCTTTTAGTGTTGGAGGAACCTTTACGTGAATATTAACTCCCTTTAATGGAAAATTCAGTGACTAAATTTCAGTTTCTGAGCCCCTTGACCACTAATGCAGATTGGATTCTCCATTATCCTCTGCGAGGCATCTTCATCGCCTTCTCCGCATATTGGCAATTTCTGGCAGCCCGGGCTGATAAAGCATTCCTGGCACATTCTGGGCTTCCAGATAATTAGCTTAAAATTCCTGGAGCGGAATTCATCTTCCATATGCGTAAGCTGACGGTCTAAGGACTCCATTGCTGAAGCTAAAGGATGACTTTCCACTAGCCCTCATACATAAATGTGTGTGTATATGTATTTAGTAGGAGTCTTCCCCATTTCCGATTGCTCAGATAAATAGGCAATAAATGAGAATTTGCCAGCCAGTTTGCTTATCGGTTGCATTTCCCAGCAATCCAAAGTTTGATGCTCGATTGTTTCGAGTTTCGCTTTGTTTCGGGGCAGATGTAAATATATGCAGATACGACTCACAGATACGACTTACAGATACAACTCACAGATACGATTCACAGATACGAGGCCCAGATGCGAGTGTATCTGTTTGAGTTGCCCCCTTGCCACATCCGAATCAATTGATTACGTATTCCGCATTGTTGTGTATTTGTCGCGACAGAATTTCATTTCGTTCTTATGGGACGTTCAGTCGATCAAGCGACCCATTGAACCCCCCCCCCCTTAACCCCTCTTCCCCCCTTAACCCCTCTGTGCCCCACCCATGTCTGCCGCTATTGAACTGTAACGCATTCGACATTTGTTGCTCTCGAGCATTGTCTATGCAAAACTGTGGCTGCTGCTCATTCTGCGGTGTTCGTTGAACTCGCTCGATGTTCAACTTTTTGGTCACTTGTCACCCGGCCCTCGATGTTTGATTTCCCGAATGCAACCCAAGGGGGTCAATGGGGGTAAGCGGAGAACACGGCCCTTTTGGGCCAGTTGTCAAATAGCTTAGAGTTCGTAGGGAATTAGCTAAAGCAAATCGTAAAAGGGAGCTTTGAAAGAAAAATATTTAAAGAGTCCAAGATAGATATGTTGATGTAATGTTTAAATAAATATAAAATAAATCTCTATGTTTTACGAAAAATACTATTTTCCTCACTAAATGCAGCGCATATTATTATGTACGAAATGTTATCAATTTTAATTTTTGTTATACGATGTTTATTAATAATTGTTAAAAAAATTGCTATGTAATTTTTTAATTAAGCATGAAATGTTGTATCATTTTACAATTTAATTTTTTGTTCTGAACAAATATTATTTCACATGACCCTAATGTATTTAATAAACAATAGCAACTGAAAACCAGAAAATTCCGAAACAGTTTCTAAAAATAAATGCTTCCTTTAACAGAGTCTTAAGTTTTTGCTTTTCATTATTAACTATTATCTAATATTTTTGTTTGGTCAACATTCTTTCCAGGTGTCCCATATAAGTCTATAAACATTGCTCCAGCTACGAATAACTTACATATTTAACCAGAGTAACTACGCATATGTCTCATTCTTATTTTTTTGTTTCTATCCCGTATTTGCATTCAGCTCTCCGACAGTCTTTAGAAGCTTCAAGAAACCAGACATTACCGCAGCGCTTGGGAATTGCAACTTGTGACTGCTGGCTGAAGTTCTTCTTCTTGCTAGTAGCTCCCTATCCCCAGAAAAACCCCACGAAACCCGTGTTAACCCATCAATTGTCTGCCGTCTAACTCGGCGCATGACTTGCATATTTAAGCGATATATGCGAAATGAATTGTTGACTTCGACTTTTCGTCCGACTTTGACTGTGCCCAAAGGCAGCCAAAGTCAAAGCGCTGATAAATAAGCAGCCAGAAGGGAATCAACCAGTAGACACGGGAAAAAACTGAAGAACAAACGGTGGAGAAAAACTATAAATAAATAAAGTGCATGTATTTCGAAAGCAATTCGATGCAGGCGAGAGCCGAACGAAAAATAATAATAATTTTATGGCAAGATCAAGTGACTCGGAGGGCGTTACCCAGAAAATAGGGGGTGTAAGTCAAAATGGCTGTCAGTCAAAAGTGAAGTGTAACAGCTGGATGGATGTGTGTGTGTGTGTCTGTGTGTGTGGGTGTTATACAAGTTACATAAGGTTGTTGGTCCCAGAATTTGTGGCAAGGCATTATAAATGTATTTTCTTGCGACTCTAGCTCTCTTCATCTCATCTCAACGTGTGCAAATGCGTTAACATAAATGTAACACGTTTCGCTGTGGTAACAACAACTGCAATAGCAGCAACAGCAACTATCCACATGTCACGTAGCTTTTGCATGCCAACGACAGAGACGAGAACAGAGAACCGAGAATGGAGAACCGAGAACCTGGAACCCCAAAGACCCGAAAAGTCGTGTGACCCGAGGCAGCCCAAGAAACTGTCACATTTCGCAGACCAGACAGGAAGTCAGTGGCAAGAGGAAGAGTCACGTGGCGGAATCAGACGTTAAGTCACTTTCCTCCGCAGACCCAACAAAGTATTCTAAATTGTATACAACTCCGTAGCATGGTCTAAAAATATACATCTTAAGCGACTCCACAATGAATAATGTACCAGTTGCTAGTTGATTAAATTTTTAGCAATGCCGTGCTAATTAACAAGTCACGAAATTGTTGTTCAAGTTATGTAATACTTAAACGAACTTGGATTGCCGGCGAAGAATTAAAACTTAAAATAAAAGGGCAAAACACAAAAAACTCGTTTGAGTATTTCACAAAATAAATCAGTTTGCCTAAATAGTAGTAATCCGTTTTGGTTTATTAATGATTCTTCAAAGCCTAAACATCCAAAAATGCTATTAAAATATAAAATTTAATTGAAATTTAGTAACATTTAATTTTTCTTCAGTTGAATTAAGCTGGTGATATGTTTCATGATGTTTCTAAAGAAAAACTTATTTTCCAAACTATTTATTTATATGATTTAGAAAAACAGCGAGAGAAAGAAAACCAGACCGAGAAAAACCAATGGCAGCATCCACACATGGCTATTTCCCCTTCCACAAATTCGTTTCGCATTCATTTTTTTATCCGCTCTTGCAAGGGAGTTCAAAAGTCCCTTGACAAAGCTAAAATTTAATTAGCCACCCAGCAAGTGGCGTTTGCAAATGAAATTACACAAGCACATTCACACACAGGCACGCACACAAAGGCAGCGAAATGTAAGCCCCACATACTTCCCCTCCTTCCCACTTTCCCTCTCCCTCTCCCCCTCTTCGTCTTGCTCACACATTGGTTTAACATTTAGCCACTTGGCGCGAAAAGGAAATAAAATACACGACAATCCAACAAAAGCGGAGGGCAAAAAAACACGAAACTTGCATCGAAACACGAAACACCCGCCCTTTTTCACCGCCGTGTTTTCTCCGGAAAATTGCTCTGCTGGCGCCCCCTTGCGGGCGGTCTGCCCACCCGCTTGGCTTTGTAATCCTCGCGAGCTTCACAATAAACACGAAAATATAATTTGCAACGTTTTTGCAGGCGACGCGCTTCCGCTGCCAAAGCGCAGAAATGCAATGAGTTTTAGACAATAGAAGTTACAGTGAATGGTCATTAAGAACAACACCTCGCTAGAAGGATCGTTAATTAAAAGTTCATACAAATTTGTTTCATAATCATGTTTAAAAAACTTTCCTAACCTCATGGACATTATGTCATTTTCAGCTGACGCGTTAAAAAGCTTGACTGTCAGAAACGCACCATAAAAATGTCAACCAGCATTATCTTCGCAGTATATTATATTCAACTTAAATAAATCAATTGATTTTACTTTTTATATTCTTGTATTGATTGATGATGTGTTGTTAATAATATATGCTTTTAAGTTTTTATTTGAGGAAATTGGCTTTGAAAAATTCAGTAACATTTGTGATATAAAAAACTTCATCATAACATTTTAGAACTTGGATAATGAAAAGAATCACAAGATAAACATAAATTGTGTTGAAGAAATTAAAATTTTTTTTAATATAATATTATTTTGAAATAAAATAAAGGATTCCCTAAATTAGTTTTTATACCAAAGTTTCCTGCATATAGAAAAACCCATAAAGATAAAATTTAGGTTAACCCTTGAAATGGATTTTTTTAAAAGATTCGTTATTCTATGTCTTTACTGTTCTCGGACCGACTGGGCTTAGCTGGACTTTGTTGGTCCGTGCAAGTAACGCTAATTACCTGGAACTAAATATGGCGCCGGATTCGGTGGCGGCAGCCAATACGTTGCCGTTATCGCCGGATACAACTGATGGCCATTTGTGGCCATGTTTGTGGACAGGGCTGACGGGTGGAGTGGGTGGTTCGGGTGGCTCTGGTGGTTCTGGTGGTGCAGCGGCGGCGGCGAGTGCTGCTGCTGATGATGTGGCGGCGATGAGTTCGCGGAGGAGCTGCCGGAGTTCAGTTTGTTGTAGCGGACGATCGTGTTGTTGTTGTTGATGCTGTTGTTGTTGTTGTTGGGCGGTGGAGATGCTGCATGGGCTTTGCCCGATAGGGGGCGCTGTTCGCTAGTCCCGCCATTTCCATTTCCATTTCCGTTTCCGTTGATATTGCCGCCATTGTTGCTGCTGATGATGTTGTTGTTGTTGTTGTTGTTGTTGTTTAAGGAACTGCTGCATTCCATAATATTTGGGTTTTTCATGTTATTTATTGGCCGCTAGATGGCGCCAACACGCACACTCACGAAAAAAAGGTCGAAGGGTTCAAATACTTTTGTCTAGCTAAAACTTTACTTTGCTTTTTTATGGGCCTCCAGGGCTAAATTAAAAACGAAAAGCCATACTTTATTTGTATTTATATTAGCAAGGGCTGCCATTAAAATGCCACAATTATTCACTTGTGCATAATTTGAATTTTATTTGGCACACACATACACACACACACAAATACCATCGCGTTTCACTCTTTTTTTAGCACAGCGTTTTATGGTCTACCATTTTTGTATAACTAATTAATTTGCCATATCGTCCGGCGAGTGCAGTTTGCCTTTTGCAATAACGCAGTATTTTTTATTGTCGTTCTGTGTTATTTACTTTCAATTTGTTGCACATCCCCATCAACGCAGCAAACGCTAATGGGACGGACATGACCCGCCCGTATGGGTTGTTCATACAGATGGACCATATTTGCCTTTATTGTTACGATTATTATGGCGATCACATAGCGCAGTTGTTTGATTTTGCATTTAATGTCCGTTAAGGAGCCCCCATGCGATATTAAAATCATTGAAAAATCCAAAGCAAATAAACAACAAGTTTTAATCCATCCAACTTTCGCTTAAAAAATTTTTATTGCCGTTCATGTGACACTTTGAGGGGTATCATATTGGATAATAACATTATAAAGTATTTGAATATTAACTGAGGTTCATAAAAACGGTAAAGAAACTTTTTGTATAAAACTTTTTATATTTTATTATATAAAATGTGTTTGCTTGTTAAAAAAAAGCCTTAGGAATTTCTCTCCATGCCAAAATATGCACAACTGGCGCAACTTAGCACTTAGCCACTCCCATCTGGTGGGCTTTCTACCATTCTGTATATATAACACCTGTGTGAAGCTCTAATCAGCTTGAGCGGAGTTTTCAAGAGACGAATGTCTGTGTTTATACAATATATGAGAGGTACTCAGGGTAAATAAGTAACTTGAGACCCAAGCGGGGAGTTTCGAACTGGAAAACTAAACAAGCCGACAACTGTTCGACACCTAAACATATACGAACGGAATGATTGTGAAATTTTCGAGCTTATTTATCCAGATACAACAACGACAATTGTTTGACACTGAAGTTTCGGTTATTTCCCTGGGAAGTTTACCTAAAAGGGTTGACCATTATCTTACTCAAAATTATATGTATGCTAAATTTACATTTTCATTGTGGAATATGTTATATGAACAGCTGTTTCATTTTCTATACTTAAATGACTAAAACTTCGATGACCTTTCAGTTGAATTAATATTTCTCTCTGAAACTTGCCTACAAAATTGCAATATGTTGGATTTCGTACTATCAATATGCAGGATTTTCTACCTCACAAAGAAAAAATTATAAATGGCAAAGAAATATTCATTTTCTAGGAGTGCAAATTTGTCGAAATTCCCTCAAAACTTATTTTCATTTTGTTGGTCATTTCAAATCTGGTCGAACGCAATTGGCTCGAATTGATTTTGTGGCTTCAGTTCTTTTTGAAATTCTGTGAAATTTGAATATTTCCTTGGAGTACTCGTGTTTTCTAATTTTTAGTTTCCCCCGTCCGAGTTTTCCCCGCCCCACCTGCCTCGCCTTTCTATTTTCAATTTCTTCTGACCCAACTGAAATTGACGTTTGCCAGTCTATTGACAGACTGCCTAAAGAAGACGATGATGATGATGATGATGCTGTGGCTGATGTCGAAGCTGATGGCTTCTTGTTTGTACACGGCCAACATATAGACATAAATATGCGTAAATAGACAAGTTTCCCCTTCGCCTCTCTCTCTTTTCTTGGAATGTAACTCAGAAGAAAGTGCAAATATTGACGAGAGTTTCCATTTTGCAGGTGGCTCGAAGTGGAACAGTTTTCTGTTGCTGGTTGCGACATATGCGAAACCAATTGATTCGTCGTCCGAATGGCTATTACTATATATACTCGTTGTGACATTTTCGTAATCATTTTGTTAACGCTTCGCTGGGCCTCCGACGAATTGAAATTGTGGAGTACTGCTTTTCTCTAAGTGAGCTGATTAGTCGGGCTAAAGCATTCGAATTTGTAAATATTCTAACCCACTTTTTCTAAACTTTGTATTATTATCAGGTTGTCTCATGCGCTTCGAGCTTCAAGCTGCAATTTACTTGCCAGCAAACTCGCTCGCAATTATCACATAAACTTCGCATTTACACTCTGAACTTTGCTTTTGGCTCAGCGGCTCATGTGGTTTGTTTTCGGCTTGTTGTTTCTATTGCGGTTGCTTGTTGTTATTATCGCTGTTAAATGAAAATATTCAGAGCGGAAAGTTACGCTTTTCCATTAAAAGCGGGCCATTCGAAGCACGATAAAATCTAGTGTCGAGGTTTCTGTTACGAAGAATATCGAAAGTGAGTTTGAGGTTCGGAAAGAAGTAAATGCAAGACGGAAGAGACTTAAGAATGCATCAAAATAATACGGAAAAAATACATGAATTTTAAAATAAATATAAATAATCCTAAAGATCTTTATGAAATTGTTGAGTCTCTAACGTAAAATTGCAACCAACAAAATAATATTCGAATTGAACTCATGTTAAATCTGTCTACACATCAAGAAATGTATATCCACAAGAATATTTTATGTTTCAATTTAGAAATAAAGTAAAAACAAAATATGTTAATCTTTAACCCATATAACAAAACACAAGTTAATTGAAAGTGTTGGTTATAATTATACATAATTATAGTGTTTCTATTCACTCAAAATTCAAAGTCAATTTTTTGTTTGTGTAGATTCTAAAATACTTTTGAGTTTCTTGAAAAATGTATTTGACTTTTGACGAGCCGTTGACATTTTGTATTTAATACGGGCTGCACTCAAGTTTTCCTTTCTGTGCCGTTTGCCTCGTGTGAGGCTCCTCGAAAATGAAAAAGCGAAAGAAAATTTGACAAGTGACAATTTCCGTTTGTTGACTTCGCCTTTGAGTGATTATTTTGTGAGGGACAGTTTTCCCCAGCCAGATGATTCATTTTGGTTTCAAAGAGCATTACGTGAAGGAAAAATCGGATTACAATTAGTGGAATTTTGTACCAAAGGTCTACAAACACTTGTTGGTTCTTTTTTCTGTTGGTGTTTATAGATATGTTATATGTGCTTTGTGTGTTGTTATACTTTTATCACCTAAATGGGATGCTAAGTTGAGGTCTAAAGGTTGACCTTGTAGGTGAGAGCGTGTGGCGGCGAGGTGACGATGGGTGCTGAAGGGGCTCAGCTCATCGACAGCCTTCATCCGAGGCTATTTATGGCCCGAACACACCCAGCTCCAAGCTCACACACTCGAGTCACTCGGCCGGAACGCCAATTGGATCGGAAATCGCTTTTTTGTCTGTTTCATTCGCCAACTTACATTGGCCTTACCCATCCCTTTACCCCATTTTGACCCAAAGCCCGTCAGCTGTTCTGTATTCGGTGTGAATTCAATTATTCTCCAAGCGATTGCTCGGCTTATTTTCACAGGTAAATAGAGTGGGGCAACAAGTTCGCGATAGCTACTAAAAGTGGTAAATGGCTATAAGGAACACTTATTAAAATGTATCTTTATAGCTGTGAATTCCAACTTCGTTTTAACCTATTTGAAGTTGAAAGCTTTTTGCTTTTCAAAATGTATATACACTTTCCCTAAAACCCTAACCTTTATCCAGTAACCACTGTACTTTCGACTGACTCAAAGCAAAGTTCTTATCGTCCACTAATTATGCAAATGCTATGTGCATTTTGAAGTCCTATTTACACACTCGAAATGCGCTTAATTTGCGTATTCACTAGCTGCCAACCGCGGATCGAGTATCTCGATCCGAAAGATACCTCGAGTCGATCGCACGTCTTGAACTTTAACTTTGACACGCGCGTGCGCGCAATTGTAATTTCCGTTTGGCTCACAAATCGCCTTTATTCTCTCCGATTACGACGACACGTCTCCGATTTGAGAGTATCTGCTAGATACTCGTGGAGAATTTCAGCGATTTGTTTCTGCTATTTTTTCGGAGCTGCCTCTGCCTCTGCTTTTTTTCGCATTCGATCCGAAAACGCGACTGATGTCTGGGCGATTGAGTGACAAACTGCTGGCGACGCTTATTTTTCGCTGCCGTTTTTGCGCTTCGTTCTGCGGTTTATTTTACTTGATTTTTGTAGTTGTAGTTGTATCTGGTATGTACTTTAGCCATTGTGTACTCAGTTCACGATGAGCCGCATGGCGACGTCAAAGCAAAAGCAACAGCAACAGCACCAGCAGCAGCAAACAGTTCGAATACAAAAAATATTATCATTATTGCCGCTGCCTTTCGGTTTTGTGTCAAAATGGCAATAAGAAAAGCGTGCTGGGCTAAAATTGTGCTTGGGAAAATGCGAAAATTATGAGGATTAAATGGGTTTCTAAAGTGCACTTTGAGGGAATTGGCAGAACATTGGGAAATTGTAGGGAATGCTCGAATTCTAAAGAAGGATGAGTTCTATTTTTATTAAATTAGTAACATTATATTGCTAAACCTATTCCCCTTTGCTTTTTATTCATTGTATTTAAAATAGTTTGTGATCAATCCAAGCGAACAATTCAATTTCACACATTTGGATCGTTGAAACTTTAAATATATATATTTAAAATCGAAGCTTAAGTCCGGATTTCTTGGTTTCGTATTTCTCAGCCAAGTCTGTCATTGCATCTGTTACACGTTCAAGTCGTATTTCGTTATATATGTATTTCCATAAATACTCATATTCCTGGCTCGGAACTTCTACCTGAGAGAGGCCCCAACTTTGGGGTCCGGGCTTTGTGTTTATGTTTATTTTCGTTTCGCATTTCAGCAGACAGCTACAGTCCGTCTCATTCACGCCAGTTGTTTAACTTATCATTTAACAGCTCAGAGCTAAAAGCTTTGAAAGCTAGATCATAATTCAGCAGAAAATTATAAGCGATTCCGTTGTCAGCTGACTCTTGAAGGGTAATTTTTTGGACAAATGCAGCCGGAGTGGATTCAAGATCGCTATTTTCCGTTCTTATCGCGAACGAAATGGAAAATTTAATTAATATCAAAGGGAAAACAAAGGCAAACCATATGCCGCAAACAAGTGCTGGAAAAAGGGGGCGTAGTTGGGGTGGAATTATAGAACAATACGCCCCCTAATTACAGCCAGAGATACGGATACGGATACAGATACAGATACAGCCGCTGCTGCAGATACAATGCGAAAACACTTGAACAAAACAGACGCGCTGGCCATTTTCGATAATTGAAAATAATAATTAAAATTCCCCGATTGAAGGGAGAGTGAAAGAGGCGAGTAGGATCGTCCACAATTGGAGTGAAGGAATCCTATAAAAGCGGCAACAACTGCAGGGCATACATAATAAAATTTGTATCTGTTAGTATGCAAAACATGTCGCCTCTTCCCCGCTTTTCGTTGTTCTTCTCGGTTCTTTTGGGTCATAGAGCCCGTTAGCCGTATTTGTCCATCAGAAGTCATCATGGAATTGGTTGTCATTCACTTTGCGCCTCCGCTTTGTTCCCCACCCCCTCTTTCCCCTTTTCCCCCCTTTTTTACCCCCTTTCTGGTCCCCCATTTCAATAGAATATATAACCCCTTTTGCCCGCTTGGGCGTGCGTGATTTCTTCAATTAATTGTTGTCTCCAAGCACTTTGAACACTGCACAATGTCGTTCTTGACAGCACTTTTTCCCATCATTGTCTACACCTAATTGGAGGTCCAAGAACTATGTAGTCGGTCCATTGTGCTCTCCGTGCAACAAAGGTCCATGAAAATATGCATAATTCTAACTCAAACAATGACAATTGTCAAGGTATTGCAATTCATTCTGCAAAGAGTTTTGTGCAATACGGATTGCCCAAGAAGTACGGCAAATGTTTGGACGAGGAACTTGCCAATTATGAAAGAAGCCTTTACAATGGGCTATAGGTAAATTCAGTTAGAGGAAGTACTAATTTATTTAATGAGTTTCAATTTAGTGTGTTTTGGAGTCGAAGATTTCTTTATTAAAGCTCTTTTTGTTTGCCAAACCATTTTCTTTAAAGTTAAGTTACTAAAAACAAGTTTTGAGGCATGATGAGCATTTAAATTGAAGTTATATTTTTAATTTCAATTTATATACCACTATTTAATTTAAATGGAATATTGTTTAACCTTAAAATAGAATTACAATCATCAACACAACTGCTGTTATTTTCATAATTATTTCGAGGCAGTGCAAGACTTTAATGGCTTAATTAATATCTAGTAAACACATGAATAAAGGCAAGATGATTTAAAATAGCTAACAGGTTTTGCGCCACGAGAAGTAAGTTCTGATGAACTCTGGAGAGAAATGGTTCCCTGAAATAAACTCGCGCTGAATCAATCTTCAAGCTTCATTGCCAAACTATCCCCAGCATCCATAAACCAACTCCGTGGGGAGAGATTTCCCCGGCCATTTATCATCTAGCAGGCTTTCCCAAACATCTTTCTTCATGCCGCTTGCCATTTTGGCTCACAAATCTAGCAATTATTCACATATTTCAATTACCGCTCGTCAAGCGTAAGAAATGTCTGTGGCACACATGACAAACTGCAGCTGCAAATGCGATTGCGATTGCGATTGCAACCGCAGTGTTGCAACACAGAATGCAACGCACTTTCAACACGCAACCAGTGAAATTTCTCCAGTTTCAGTGGCTGCCATTCTTCGCATACTCGATCGCCAACGGCACGCAATCTCCAACTAGAATCTATAGCCCCTTTTGAGATACACAGATTAAGATACGAGATGGCCAAAGCAAAACAAAATGAAAACCAAAACAGTGAACAGCTGATTTGACTTATATAAACAGAGGCTCGGAGAAAAAGCTAAGTTGTTTTATGCAAAAAATAATAATAATGGAAATGAAATGAAAACTGGTTAAGACCGCAGCCGGTTCGCCGGAGAGAAGCCGAGGAACTATGAAGAGAATCTGGGAGAAGCCGGCGCAGAATGACTCAAACTGCAGCCGAGATTATAATTTATTTAGCTGGATTCCGTTTTTGCCTCTTTGTACTTAATTATTCGTTTGGAAAGTGCTTTGCATATTGTTTTCGTTTTCGTTTTTCGATTTCATCGGTTTTCTGTTGTCATTTTCGCCGTGTTTACTTTTTGGCAATTGCCAAACGGGATGACAAATTCAATCGACTGAGTTGTTGGCCGCTTGTGCCGTTCTGGCATCGAAAATTAATGTTTTAATGGCATTTATATTTCGGGCACCCCCTAGAAATCGAAATTGAAATATGTCCGAAGGATGCCAGCCCCATATTTTCGGTAGATTTAGCAAAGCTATTAACTTAATGTCGGCTGAATTTTGAGTTATGGGTAAGTCGTTAATTTGAGAGAGCGGAAAAAGAAATGGTACATTCTTTCAGCCACAAAACAAATTAGATCCAATCTGAATGTTTGAAATTCCAACACTTAAACAAATTGTCAGACTATGAGTTTGAAATCTTTTTGGCAAGATTTTTTTTTCAACACTTTAACACATCCCAAAAAATATATAATTTCTACAAAATTATGAATCCATATTTGAGAGACATCTTGATACTTTTTATAAATATCTTTTAAGTAATCGATTTAAAGCTCTCTGTAGAATTTTAAAAGTGAATAATTTGAATTGTTTATTGCACATAATTAGTGTATCTCAAAACAACACCGCACTGTTGTCAATTGTGAAATCGTTTTCTTAATTACGGAATCAACGATGATTCAGTATGAACGTATATCGAGTTATATGGGGAAACAGTTCAATCAATTGGCTGTGCCAATAGTTTATCAATATCTTCGAGATACACGGGCGAGGGTTTCGTTTCGTTTTTCAATTAAGGCTTTGCGGCTGGCGTAGATTTAATTTAAAGAATTTCATTTGCCGCTGACCAACCACAAAAAAGAGGCGAAGATACGGCGATCGTGCCGCGAATGAATGAAAACTGGCGACAATTGCGGATCGTATCTGCGAGATATTAAAGACTTGCGCGCGACTTCGAATAACGAGAAACGATCCCCGATAGACGATCACCGATCGACTGAAAAGCCCGCAAGCACTTCGTCCCGCGATCAATTGCGCTGCACTTCGAGCAGCAGATACTTTTGCCGCTGGCAATGCCGCTCTTGCCGGCTCTCTCTCGCTCTCTCTCTATCTGTTTCCTTCTCTTTTCCTCTCCCTCTGCTTCTCTCGCTCTAAACAGCTGTTGCGGACACTTGTGGCTCGCTCACATGAAAGCCAATTAGCCACGCTCGTTGCCTTCGGCTGTTTGTTTATTTATGTTTGCTGGGGAGTCATCGGCGGTTGACAGTTTTTTTGTACATACGAGTGGCTCTCTCTGGCGCTCCCCTCCCTCTCTCTCTGTCTCTCTCTTTGGAGGTACTGCCCTCTCTTTCCGTTCGGTGCCGGGTTGACTCATCGGTTTTCCTGCTCCGTGGAACGGATGCAAAACGAGGGAAAAGGCTTTTCTTTAGGTTAATTGTTAGGTTTCACCATGAGTGCCTAAGGCTCCATTAAAGATATTACTTTTTTGAGTATAGGAAAATGATTTCACTTGGACAACATTGTATTGAGAACTAATCAACAATTACCTTCAACTGTTAAAATTAATTTTTCAGCACTTATGTATGCCTTAAGTGTAAGCTTGTTGTTCTTGTTATGGAAAATGTTTACTTAAATGAACTGTTTAAAAGAAATATACGAACCAA